GTTGGAATGTCAAACTGAACCCTTTATTTCGCTCACTGAGGTAGACTGTTCTAGTTCCATGTGCCTTGTTTGATGGATGTCAGTTATCTGTTAATTCCCCTCTCCAAGTTCTCCACTGCCTTAACCGGTTATTGAACTCACACTCTTTGGGTCCTGTCACTGGATCTAACTCATGCCTTTATCCACTGTGCCATGTGTCCTTGAGGACATCTGTGTATGAATTTCTGGGTATTATAAACCTAATGTCTTCAGCAACTATTTTTTACCAGTGCTCATATTGCAATTTTTTTCTGTTATCATTGCATGTTTTTATCAGAGCTCATATTGCAATTTGTGTTGTTATTATTGCTTTTCTCTGGTACTCCTTAATACTGAAACGTTGTAATAAATATGGCAACAAAGATGAGGACAATAGTCCAAATAACGTAAATAGTGTACATAATACCTAATCTCAGAAATATAGACAGATACAAAATTTTATGTTTACCAATTCAAAGGTGGGCTGGAGACAGGGTTCCTGAAGACTGGTCATTAAATTGACTTAAAAGATGGACTGGAAACAAGTTTTCTGAGAAACTCTGGTAATTAAATGGGCTTAGAAGGAAAAAGAATCCATCTATTTATCTCCTATGGATGTTTGAGAAATAATATTGTAACACGTGCTTCTAAGATGAAATCTCTTATAATTAAAGAACAGGCATTATTTTCTGATCAGCCCTTTTATATATATAGCGAGTCAAATAAATATCTGTAACATACAAAATATTAATTTCATCAAATAAATTATGTAAATTTATCACAGCAGTATGCAATTTAACCAAGTTTTAAAATATTAAGAATTAGAAAATTATCACCACAGATCAATTAAGGGTATATACAACAAATTATTTGAGAAATAAGTAATGGGACAAAAGTATCCATAACCTTAAGGATTTTTAAATAATTTTTATAATAATAATTATTGAATTTACATGTTTGTTGAAATATTTCTCGATTATTCTGTGACCTCATATAATGTAATTTCACATGTGCATCGGCAATTCAGCATTCTGTGTCCAAATGTTGCAGAGTCAACATCTCTGTCATGCTCTTTAGCTAATATATATAAAATAAATTTTTTGTGTGTGGGATGGATTGCTCATCTCCATATACAGGGATCCCTCGACTTACATCAGAGATCCATTCCTATGGTGTGATATAACCTGATTTTTGATGTAGATCAGAACTCACCTACATAAGCACCCACAAGTCTGCCTTTGGCTTGGAGCCATATTGAAGGGCAAAAAGTTCCCCCCAAAATGATACAAATGAGAGTGAATCTAGCACAATCCAATATAACATACAACCAGTAAAGAAACAGCACCGTCTTCCTCATGTAATTCCATGTAATTACTTATATTATGGGAGATCATGCTGTAACCACGAAATGCCATAGGTTGGATACAACATAACCTGAGGACCTTCTGTAGTTGGCTTTTCTGGTGACATAGTAGAAACTTGATGAATAAAACTCCTTAATTATTCAATTGCAAATAAAATGTTATATCATGGGAAACAGAACATATTTTTTATTTGGAAAACCAACATTTGTATATCCCCTACCCTACACACATGTATTTAACTTATTTATTATTTTTGTATATGTGTAGAACACTTTTTGGTATCTATGAATATAAAAAAATGATAGTGTCATGATCTTGCATATTTCTGTATTGAACTTTTATGATGTAGAAATACAATATCCTGTTATTTTAAATCTGACAAATCCTATTGTTTATTCATAGTTAAGTCATTTTGGGCTTACAGATAGATAGTAATTTTGCAATTATATCACCATCAAAAAATGATGGCATAAGTAAACTAATTTGAACATAATACTGAATGATTTTAAGGTATATATATTGCAACATTTTAATGGATTCTCATATTGTTTCTATGAACTTGATAAAGGATGCCTATAATTTTTATTTACTTTTTAAGTCTCATTGTTTTGTTGCTTGTTAAATAAACTCCATCTGATCATTTAATTGATGACTTTAAAGAATACACTTTACTCTAAAAAATCAGTATTTCTTTGAGCTTGATGTATTAGCATTCTTCTGTTTCAAAACAATGGAGTATACATCAGAAGTTGGTCTAGTCTATGGCTGAGAGTGTTCCATATCAAAACATTGGGAAAATGAAACTACAAAATTTATTTTTTCTTCATATTTATACCATTGGTATCCTCCATCAAGATAGAACAAATTGCAAAGTTTCAGGTCATAAGCCTTTGTCTATTCCAAAATATGAGAGGTCAAAGATTTTAGCATTTTTCCAATTTCTGTTGAAAATCTGCCATTATGGATTTTAACTTTCTTTGATAATTTCTTTTCTGATGCTACATGTTGTGCCTGACCAATCTTGAGGGTGTAGAATCCAGAAATCTTGGTTAAAAGCTCATGGGTACATCAAAAAATTGTTAAAATCTTGATTTACATTCCAAACTAGAAAAAAAAAAAGGATAAATGGTTGCCAAAAAATATGGTGTAAAATGCAATGATAACATCCATCTTTCTTAAAGTGATGCCTAAAATTACCTGAAATGAAAAATGTTTTTCTTGCTTTATTTATCTTTGGAATAAAATAACAAATTCAAAGTGATGTACTAATAAGCCACTATCCATAAGTACTTGCCTTATTTAACAAATGTTTTCTCCCAAACAATGTATTACACATATAAATATTTTAATTCACAGAAAACTGTGAAATCGTCTGTGATTAAATTATTTTTTAGTGTTATCCGACTAACATTTTTTTCATGGTTGGTTATTTAGTAATAATATTTGCATTTTCAACATAAGTGGCAAATAATATTTCCACTTGGTGAAAGTTTATCTCAAAAAATACCCAAGATCAGCCACTGTGCCAAATGTTTGGTCTTTAGCAAGATGTTCTTATACATGTAATTGCTCAGGCAATGGATGCATCTCAGACTGAAATATATGACCAACAAAATTTGGTATTTTATTGCATGTGATGTTGTAAGGTGAAAGTTTGTAAAAATTGTTGCAACTGACTTTTGCAAATATACTAAATCATACAAATGACTGATTAACATACAAGGTGTGATGGATAAATTGTCTTCTAAATTATGCAAAAGTGAAAATAACACTGACATCTCATTTTAACAGATATATTTATCAAAATTATACAAAAATATCTTGAAATACTAAAGAGTAAATTTATTTAATAAAATCACGATTGGCTTCAACCATTTCCTTCAGATGACTTTGGAATCTCCTGCAACTCTTCTGGATGATTTCCTTGTTTAAGTTGATGAATGCTGCCATAATTCTTGCATTCAGTTCATCTTTGGTGTTACAAAAAGTTTTGTTGGTCTCTCGCTCAACTGCATCCCACACATAATAATCAAGGAGTTTGCAATTTGGGGAGTTAGGTGGCCAGATATAAGGGGTGATATGGTCGTAGAAATTGTGTGACAGCCATGACTGGGTTCTTCTGCTTATGTGTCATGCTGCAAAGTCCTGTTGCCAGACATAGGTTCTTCCAGCAGCCACCCTCTTGACCCAATGCAGCACTCCATCCTCAAGGCACTTGATGTAGACCTCCATGTTGTGTCTGAGACCCTCACCAACAAATTCAGGAATTCTTTTCTTATCAGATCGATCAAAATGAGTTTTCTGAGCTGCCACACCTTTGTAATCCCTTTTAGACTCATCCAACTCTTTCTGAATCTTCTGCACTGTCCTCAGATTGACACACAAACACTCTGAAATGTTTGTATTGGAGCCTTCCGGTGCAAATGTCAAGCAGTACAGCACGCCATTTCCAAATTTCTGGTGTAGTGGATTACATCATGGTGCTCTTTTCTCGCAGTTAAGTTTGTTCTTTGGGTATCATTTTCTACCTGCATCCAGTAAATATCACATTACTCTTTTATATGTTAAGTTTTTGTGCATTAGGAAAGTTTTTCCCTTTTAGAAAGAAAAGAAAATAGACCTGAGGTTTACCCTAATATTAGTCAAATCTTTGATCCCTAAATTACACTTCCCTGTTTATATCATAGGAATAACTCAAAAGGAAAACTTCTGACAATACCTATGCCTTTTACCATTTATTCAAATAGTTGCATCAAAAGAATGTTCTTGACTTTGTTTATTATTTGGCAAAAGCTATTACTTATTCCCTGTCCAAATGGCAGATATGGAGATTTCCTTAACTTAATTTTGTGGGATACTGACATCAGTACTCTTCGTTTTTTTCATTATCATATGATGATTGGCATGTGAAAACTGCATTTGGCACTTTTTTCTCTTTCTCTCAATGAGTCTTAGGATATCATTTTGTCAACCAACATTATGATATTTTAGTATGTTATAATTTTTTTTTTTTTTTTTTTTCAGCTTTCAAAGTTTTTTTTTTCTACCCAATATTTCTTTTTGAGGTATATTTCTTATGTATGTAATATAGGAATCACAAAAAAGATTTTTTTTCTTAAAAATACCACCTGTATTAAAATAGATAACTCCTGCTCAGAAATATCTACTGTATATGTCCTATGAAAAAAATCTTTAAATACACTAGGCAAACATTTGTCAAATTTTAGTCCTAAAGCTGCAGAATACTGCTGCATAAAAAGATACAGATAATTCTTACTAGCAAGTGGAGGATTTCCCACATTATAACAGCCATAAAAACTCTGTATTTAACTCGGCTAAAATTTTGACCCTAAGTGTTAACCCTGATCTTTTTAAATTGATGCTGCTAAGAGTAAGAAGTTCAGGATAGACATATTCTTGCTCTGTAATATGCTTAAATATATTTGTTTCAGTCCCAAATAAAATTATTTTATAAACAACGTTCTGAAAGGAATAAAATATAAAAATCACCCATATTTGGGATAATTAAAGGGTTAAAGGTATTATAAGAAATAATAATCATGTGCCTTTGAGTCAACATTTTTTGTTTAGCTAATCAGTTTTTACCCTTATTTTCAGATTATAAGTGGAGTTTACATCGGAAATATTAAAGATTCTAAAGATATAAAAACACTGACAGAAAACCAGATTAGTCATATTTTGGCTGTTCATGACAATGCCAAGGAATTAATAGAGGTAAGTATTGTTAATGAGGAAAATTTATTAGATAATATATTTTTTTTATTTCTTTTCAAAGATGAAACTTTCTCCCCCCACCAATAATGAAATAAGAAGATGGTTTCATCTTTCAGTCAAATAAGGAATACATGTTATCTGACCACCTCCAACTGCATAGAAATGTTTTAATATCTCCTCTTCTCTGTCTGTTTGCTTTATACATTTTCCTGGATGAAGCCACACCATCCAGATGTATACCATGTAACTAGATGATGTGCATTGTCATTATTTCTGTCACCAAATTGTTTTTTTGATTCTATGACTGTTGGTCAGACCCTATTACTGAAGAAGATTCTAATTACACAAATTTTTGTTTGCAAATTTAATCCTTATTAGGTGCTTTATGAATCTAGTCTTTTGCTAAAATTGTTTTTGAAAAAATATCTGTTCAAATGGCTACTCATGGCAGTTGGTCTTTGTCAATGGAAATAACGGCTTCTTTCTGCTACTGTGATTGCGCAAGTAAAATATTTATGGGGAAAGTTGTTTGTCCAAGTGCTTATTTACCCAATTTTTTCTTCTGTCAATCCATGTAGCATGCCAGTGATAAGAAAAAACAAAAAAATTGATTTCCAAAATGGATTCATGTGAAGTGAATGCATAGTCTCGGCAAGAATTCACTCTGTTAAATGATTCCATTTTCTGTGCAGATAACTGTTGTTCGACCCTTATAGCACTGATATGTTAGTGTGCAAATGAACTCAATCCTTGCTAAGGGTTCTAAAAATAGTCTTTACTTCTGTTTTATAACATCAGATATCCTTTGTCTGATACAAGATAACAAAGTGGAAATATTAAGATACTTAAACTGAATTAGGAAATTAAACTGACAGATTTGAAAACTACAGGAAAAGTTCTCAAAATTATTTAGATTGCACACAGATGTGTAGAAACTGCTAGTTATTTTGTTACATTTTATCCAGATACGATATTTATAACTGTATTAAATTACAATTTAAGTAATTTATTAAAGCTTACATATTTTTAATAAGATTTTAGGTTTTCCTTGAACTGATAAAATGGCTGATTAATTTTCAAAATATAAAAAAAACAAACAAAATGATTCAGTTTGAAAATTTAAATATTTTATTAAATTTTGATCCTTCATGAAATCTCAGAATTTCAATATTATTTTCATTTAAGGATAAGATTTATCTCTGCATTATTGTAAGTGATAGTCCACAACAATCACTCATACCCCACTTTGAAGAAAGCATAGATTTTATTCACAAGGCACGAAATGAAAATGGAAGAGTTCTTATACATTGGTAAGTTACTTTTGTGTTTTATTTTTAATTTACCTTTGTATTCATCTTAGAATAATTGCTACAATTTTTTAAAGCAGCATATTCAGAAATCTTGAATCACATAAGTCATGCATAAGTTATAAGAAGACTTGACAATATAATTTGCTGTCATTTTTAAAAGTTGACTATTTTTTCTTCTTTCAGTCATTTTTTTGTTACACCTGTATAAAACTAAAGAAAAAAAATAAGGATTTCTTCATAATCATTCATATTGGATAGTTTAATTTTTTTAGGAATATAAAATTTGGTGCTCATGAAAATTGAACATATTCACAAATATTTTATGTATGTAACTTTGTTAAACAATTTATTGTATTTTGTTTCTTCTCAAAGTTAAAAACAAATGTTATTTTTATTTGCATTATTCAAATACACTCAGTGTCAGTCAAAAGTTAGAAGCAATATATTAGGTGTATTTCAACTACTTCAAAATATGAACTACATGCAGGATATTCATAAAGAAAAATATTGAAAAGATAAAAGATTGATAACACTTATTAAATCAAGAGTAAAGGTTTAGCATAATGGCTATAATTATCCAAGTACAGTTCAAAATATTCAGCAGTATTTGGGAGCATATTTTTCATAAATATTACCTTAAAGTCTTTGACCTTGGAAGATTTAATGTTAAAGGGAAGCACAAACTTATTGTAATACTGCTACCTTTTCTGCTTTTATTTCTGATGACATTTTTCTTTTGCTGTTTGTTAAAAAGCAATAACAAAAGGATAGAACTAACAATAAAATTATTACAGTTAACTTGGTGTAAATTTTGAATATATATTTGTGCATATTTATTAGGATATTTCACCTGCTCAACAATCTTTGGCAAACACATCTTTCTATTTATGATATTACAATTTCAATTTCTCCCTCTTAATTGTTGGATACCTGCTGTAGAGTAATGGTTTGAAAGCTAACCACACAAACTATTGATTGTGGGTTGGATCTTCACAAGATAAATAATTTGATATTTTCATTTTTCTATCTAAGATTACAATGTGTAATGAATAACCCTTAGCGAATAAACTTAGGAAAGCTTTATTCAACTTAATACAGCTACAAAAAAGAAAAGAATTAAGCTAGCTTATTTATAAGCATTTCTGGAGTCTGTCCATTACACCAAACAGGGGGAGCAGGTTGTGGGAATTACTTACAACATTCTCCCCCACCGGCTAGTTATTCGTACAGAATAAAGTCTTTCCAACGACCTGGCATTTTGCGAGTCCTTTGGGAACATCTTAATTGTTCAGGTGACTGGTGGCCGTCTACGTCAGACGACAAGTTATCGTTATCGTGATTAATGCATTTCTGCGTAGAGGGTCTAGCCTTGAAACGGCACTGTTTTTTTTTATGTTTCGGTTGCTGGGTGTCTGAAAGATAAGTGTCAGTCTCCGATGTAGGGTGAGTCTGTTTTTGTGGTATCGGTCTTTCTTCAGAATCAGTTGTAGAAGAAGGTTCATAAGGATAATCGGATTCATTTGGTAGAGTATCTGAACTAGATGTACGCGGGATTTGATCGCCTAGCTTAACTGGGCTGGTTCTGAAAAACTGGATATTCGCGATTCTCCATCGCAGTAGCCTCTTCAGATGTATTTCCAGCTGGCATGAGATCTCTTAAGGAGACTGTTGATTGTCTTCCTTCCGCAGTTTCAATCTGGGCGTATTGGGGGTTTGCCTCAATTAGTTTCACTTTGCTGACTAAGGGGTCATGTTTACTACGACGAACATGGTGTTTCAGTAAAACGATTCCAGGTTGAGCAAGCCATGAAGGGAGGGAAGTGCCTGTTGAGCTTTGTTGTTGGAACGGAAAAAACCTCTCATGCAGAGTAGCGTTTGTAGATGTACACAGTAGGGTTCTGATAGCGTTTAGAGCCTCAGGGATGACACTTTCCCCATTTTGAGATCGGCATTTTCCAGTTTGCCAATGCCAACTGTACCGTCTTCCATATTATACCATTATATCTTTCACAGAGCCCCTTCCCTTGAGGGTTGTAAGGGGAGGTTCGGCTTACCACCACTCTTCGTTCATGTAAAAAATTCTTGAGTTCTTCCGACATAAAGGCAGATCCCCGATCTGTAGGAATGTATGCAGGCCCTCCGAAAATTGCGAAAAGGAAGCAGAGGCCTTGAATAACTGTAGTGGCCGTTACATCAGGGCATGGAATGACAAAGGGGAACCTTGAGCACTCGTCAATTACAGTAAGCATGTATTTATTTTGTATTTTAGGAGGTAGTGGACCCTTGAAATCCAGATTAAGCCTCTCGAAAGGCTGAGTGGCCTTCACGAGTGTTGCTTGAGGGGGCTTATAGAATCTTGGCTTATTTTCTGCGCATATTTGGCAGGAGTTGGTAATTCTTTTTACATCTTCAACTGAATATGGTAAATTCCTGCTCTGGACTACATGTGTCATTCTTGTGATGCCTAGGTGGCACAATTCTCGGTGTATGCTCTGAAGATCATATGAGCTTGTTGTTAGACCACACACCCTTGAAAGTGCGTCAACTGCAGCATTCTCCTTTCCAGGGCGATAGGAGACGTCGAATGAATAACAAGAGAGTTCCATCCGCCATCTTGCAATTTTCTCATTTTTATTTTACTTGAGGTTTTCGGGTTAAACATGAATGATACCGATTTTTGGTCGGTGATAAGGTGGAATTGTCTACCGATCAGATAATGCCTCCATTTTCGTAAAGCTTCAACTATGGCGTACGCTTCTTTTTCTATGGCAGTATGCCTTCGTTCAAATTTCAAGAGTGTCCTAGAGAAAAAAGCTACAGGCCGACCATGTTGTCTCAAGTAGGCAGCTATTGCCGAATCAGATGCATTGGTTTCAACTACTAGGGGAGCTGAAGGATTAATGGCAGCAATGGCAGAATTAGCAATATCCCTTTTTAAATTTTGAAATGCTCTAATGGCTGAATCAGATAATGGAAAAGTTCTTACTTGAGTAAGTAAATGTATTTTTTCAGAAAAGGACACAACCCATTGGGAATAATGGGCAAACATGCCAAGGGCTCGTCGTAATGCAGCTATATTTCCAGGAATTGGTAATTCCATTAAGGGTTTAAGTCGCTCGGGGTCCGGTCTCATGGCACCATTCCTGACTATGTACCCTAGTAGCTTGATGCTTTTCAAGTTATATGAACACTTTTCCTCATTAAGGGTCAAGTCATATTTATTTACGGTGGCCATGAATCGTTTCAGGTTGTGGTTATGATCTTCCTCGTTATAACCGCAAATAGTGACATTGTCTATGTATGCCACAGTACCCTTCAATTTCTCATTAGAAATGATTTTGTCTATTACCCTTTGAAAACTTGCGACCCCATTTGTAACCCCAAAAGGGATCCTACGGAATTGATATAAACGCCCACAAGCTTCAAATGCCATGTAAGGTTTTTCCTCCGGCTTGATGGGTATCTGATGGTAGGCACTCCTAAGGTTCAACATGCTGAAAATATGATACTTAGTGATATCGGAAACCATTTCGTCAATATGGGGCAGTGGATACGCATCGAGCTGTGTATCTCTGTTGATGGTTTGGGAATAATCAACAACCATCCACTTTTTATGGTTTTCATTAGTCGTTATTAGGACCTGGACTCTCCATGGCGATTTGCTGGGCTCTATAATATTTTCCTTAAGAAGTCTCTTCCCTTCCATTGCAATAAATTCCTTGTCTTTGAGCGAATAGCGTCGAGATTTTACGGCTATAGGTTTGCAGTCAGAGGTTAGATTTGAGAAGAGAGATGGATACTGGACTTTTGCAGTTGCTAATCCACATATTTGCAGCGCTGGTTTGATACCACAGAACGGAATTGTAAGGTGAGAATGTCAGTTAAGGAAATTGTGCCCTAGAACTAATTCACAGCAGAGGTTCCTCATTACCAGCAACTTGATTTTAGAATAGAAATTTTCTTTTAGCTGGAGGTTAACCATGCAGAATCTGATTACACGGCAGGATAAGGACGAGGTGGCCATCAATTTTTGATTAGAACAATCATTTGTTTGTATCCATGATATGTGCATCGATAAAATTTTCAGAACTCCCTGTATCAATAAGAGCGTGGAGATTTAGTCCGTTCACTCTGGCTGGCACAATTGTTTTAGAGAGGCATTTGGGAGAGACAGTCGATACGGTAGATAGAGATAGGGTGGCGGCTAAACGGGTTTTCTGTAAAGGGGCCGACCGACAAACCTTTAAAAAATGTCCCTGCTTGCCACATCCATGACATCTACTGTTTCGAGCCGGGCAGGATGAATGAGAGTGTTTACGAAGGCCGCAGAAGTAGTACTTAATCTCAGCTGAAGCGATAGTAACGGGTTGTTCAATAGTATTTGAAGAATCCTTATCCTAGGGGTCACAATGTTGTGAATTTGAGATGGGAATTTGTTGGGAATGAGAATGGGCAGGAATAGTAGCCCCTGAAAAATCAGGTTGCGAATAGAGATCTGATTGTTTCTGGGCCATGTCCAACGTAAGGAGCTAGTTAAGAGGCGGTAGCCAGATCCAAGTCCTTGTTTTCGAGCATCCTTTGTCTGATTTGGTTAGACCGTACTCCACTGATGAAGGCATCTCTTATTGAGATATCCCTGGCTTGGCTTGCTGTCAGGGCAGTAAAATCACAGTTGCGACTTAATATTTTCAGGTTTTGAAGATACAGTTCTGACGCCGAGTAGCAAGTAAGTATCTTGCAAAAATGGAGTTTTTCTTCTTAATGAACATACCATCCAGAGAGCTTATAGCAGTATTTTAATTTGACAATGAACAAACACTTATAAATGGGAGTGGAAACAGGGTGTAATAAGAGGGTTAATTTCTGTGAGCCAGTCAATGCCGACTTAGAAGAAGACTGCAGCTCCGAAAGAAATCCCTCGAACATATCCCTCAAATGTTGCCATTTGTCACTAGAGTCAGGGTCTGACGTATCGAGTTCCAGGCGGTCAGGCTTGAGGTATCGTTCCATTATTTTAAGTTGAATTAATTGTAATGAATAACCTGAAGCGAATAAACTTAGGAAAGCTTTATTCAACTTAATACAACTACAAATATTTAGCTATCCCCCCACGTGGGATTGAATGTGGCACAAGGCCGAGTTTATTGTGGGTCATCCGAGCCCGTAGGCCCGGCCAAAAATATAGCCATCGAACCCGCCTAGGCGGGTTCGAGGCCTGTCAACCTCACCGAACAAAACCTTGCCCTTCGGCAAAGCTTCGTCCGGGTTCCTCCCTGCTAATGCAGAGAGTTAGACAGACGGCGCTGACTGTAACTTAATACAGCTACAAAAAAGAAAAGAATTAAGCTAGCTTATTTATAAGCATTTCTGGAGTCTGTCCATTACACCAAACAGGGGGAGCAGGTTGTGGGAATTACTTACAACACAATGTCACTTATTTTACTGTTGGTGAGAACAGATTCAACCCCAAATCTTACATCACATATTTAAATCTCTATTTAATTCTGAACACTTAGTGGAGGCATGTAGAAAGTGTGTACAAATCTTTCTTTTTTCCTTAGAATTTGACTTGACTTTGGTTGTAACATATTTCTAAAGAGTAAATTAAAATGGATACTAAACAATAATCAAAACAAAATGAAATTGTCCATTTTACTAACTGTTACTCTTCATGTTAAAAATTGATTAAATCTTGCATATCGAGTTGAATCATTTGATGAAAATTTTAAAATGTACAATATACATATTTCTGATGTTTTTTTTTTTTTTATAGTCTTGCTGGTATATCAAGAAGCGTAACTTTTACTGCTGCTTACATCATGACAGTAACCAATTTTGGATGGCGTGAGTCCTTAAATGCTATCAGAGGTGGTCGACAATGTGCTAACCCAAATTTTGGTTTCCAGAGGCAACTTCAAGAATATGAACAAACAGGATTGGCAGAAGTTAGTAAATTTTACTCTTAATTAATCTCTTTTTTTCCGGATTTTGGATAGTTAGAAATATATAGTTGGTAATCTACACACTTTTTATTTTTTCTGTTTTTTTAAAATCTTCTGCTAATTATTGTAGTAATTTAGGATTTTTTTCTTTTGTGAGAGATATCTGTTCAGACTATTGACTTCATTATTCTTGTTGTTAGCACATTTTGCTGCTAGCTACCCTTTTCTGGTTTGCATTACCAAAAAAGACTGCACTTCTTTCCATATGTGTTGTGCATCTGAATAAGACCATGTAATAGATCAGCTAAAACATTGTGGTAACAATAAAACAAAAGCAACCAAAAGAGTGCGTCAGAACAACTTATGGAATTATTATTTTTAATGTAGTAATTCTTTAAAAAGAAGTAAACTTGATCACTTACAGTATAACACAAGATTTTGTTTTTATAGCCAATAAATTGTATTCGAAATTCAAATTGTGACAATTTAAAAAATCATATTGAGATTGTTTTTTAATTAAATTTTTATTTATTTTATTTTTTTCTATTTAAAAATTTTTAGGCCAGACTTAAACTTAAGGAGAAATACCCCAACCATGACTATGAGAAAGATGAACAGGAATGTCAGCAGCTATTAAAAGCTTATCATCATTATTTATTTCATGGCGACCAATGTGATGGTAAGAATTGCAGTGATCATGACTTCATGGTACCACAGAAAAATACTATTTCCAAAAATGAAAGTGATTCAGTTGAAAGTGATTCAACAGACATTCAATAAATAATCTGAATTTGACAAATAATTTTTGGTTAATTCTTTCCTTGAATATTCTTTTGGCAAATTTATATTAAAAATTGAAAGTGATGATCAAAAGATTTTTATACTAAGAAAATACTTGAATTTTTTAAAAAAGGGAAACAAGTAATTTGTTACTTTTAGATGCAAATTTAATATTTAACTTAAATATGACATTATTATTTTAAAACTTTCATAACTTAGATAGTTTTATTATATCATATATTAATTAAAAATAATATAGAATACATTACCTATTCTTTGACAAAATTTATTATTAAAACAGTTTATTCATAATTATTAGATCTTAAACTTTTTCTACAGGGTGCCCCACAAAAAAACAAGAAATTTGGTATAGTTTAATTGTTGGAATTTTTGTTACAGTTATTTGAAACAAAAGCAAAGGATAGAAATTTAATAGTTTAAAACAGAACAAAAATGCAAATGTTAACTGTGATGTTCAAACTAAAGAACTCGGGCAAAATTTCTTGGCATTTTTTCAGTCCCCAAGTTGGATGTTCTTTCTTGAAGAGAACAATCACTTTGTGTTGAAAATTTGATAATTGTGCCATCCTGGAACAACAAATGGTTAAAAATTTATATGTTAGTTAATTTTTTTAGTTCATTCATATAGTAAAATATAAAGTTAATTTTTTTTTATATGTTAGTTAATCTTTTTCCATCATATAGTAAATCTAAAATTTCCTTTTTTTTTTTTTGTGGGACACCCTATAGTTTACAAACTGACTTAAATACATTTCACATATCTGCCTTTCATTATGAATCCATTATAAACTTTATTTTTGTCATCATGTGTCAGAGTAGTAAATGTGATTATTGATGTTTGGCAACTAAGTTTTCTTTCCTCATTTATTAATGTTTTAATACCTAACATTAAATATTACCAAACAGTAAGACCAAATTCCATAAAGAAAAAATAATTTGAATCAAAATATCTTCACCCAAACTTATTTTATCAATTTCCAGTTAAACAATCATTAAATTAATTTAGTTAAATTGAATTCATTGCAAATTTATATGTATGAGAAAGGAAGTGAAATCTAAAAATAAAAAAAATAAACATAAAATTAAAATATTATTTGTTGTTAACCATTGCTTTACAAATGTGTTCTTTCTGGTAAGATTGAATAAATTTGATATTCATCAAATGAATTTTAATGTTTTTAAATTATTATCTAATAGATTGTTTCTCCTAATAAACTTATACAATTTATAAATAAAATGTTTTAATTTTGTTTTATTTAGTCAAATGCATACTTTATATGCAAAGCAATTTGTGTGCCTCACTTATTTTCAATTTCCTTTTATTTTGTTTGAACATAAAACTTAATCTCTATATTATAAACAATTGCTAGTTCATGTTATCTAAAAGTAAGATGGTAATTCTGCCTCATAATCTTTCACATTCTTTTTGCTTTTGTTCTTTTTTGTTTGTAAATTTACCAGCATAACTTATTGAAAGCTTCTACTTATTAGTTAAAGTTTTATTTTTATTAATTTAAAACTTTCAGCATTAAAAAATCTTGTTTAATAAATAATATTTTCTGTCTATCATTCCATATCATCTTTCCATAGTACACTTTTTATGCAAAATTTTAAATGAATAAAATTGAATTTCTATGTTTATAATTATTTTATATTTTTGAATTTGTATAATTTTCTTTTCTTTCTCATGTACGTTTTTAAAAATCATGTCAAACTAAATTTTCTCCATGTAAACTTTAAAAGGCATTTATACAGTTTTTCTATTGACAATGTCTGGTGTTTTTGGTTAGAAAAAATTATTCATTACCAATACAAGTTTGTGTTCAAGCTCTCTCAGTGCATACCCTGTCATTTTTTTCTCCTTCTGTTTGTGCTCATGTAACAGTAAAAATTATAATTACTGACTCATCATTGTAAGATCATTATAGCCAAAATTGAAAAAATAAGTTGTAACTGTATCTTGTATTATGATTTTTTAATTCCTTGAAAAGTATTGCATGTGTAAGTTTTCTCTAGTTGTAGTAGTTATGGTTATACAATAGTTTATCTATGGTTTCCCTGTGAATTCTTTGTTGTTGTTCTGTCTCATATCTTTACAAATTTTCTGTAGAATCCACAGAAGCCTAAATTTTGACAATCTTTTATTTTTTTTAATGGCCATAACATAAGATTCATAGACAACAGCATTGATTTTTCTCACAAAGCTTAGTGTACTTGTACATGTGTTTGCAACTTTATAATGCATGTGTTTACAAATCGTACATGTATTTAGATTTAAATAGATTTACATTAGTTTTTGCTCTGCTTAAATCTTGGGAAAGTTCCATTGTAAAGGTTTACATTTCAATTAATTACAAGCAAATCTGATCTTGTGCATTATGACGATTATAATAATATTGTTCACATTTGATTGTCTGCATAAATATTTCAAATGATTATATAGAAAGCATTTTTAATGGATGATTTGGTTCATCTGTATGTTTTAACATGTTTGTGCAGGATTGATTTGGTGCAGGAAATAATAGAGCATATTTTTATAGAATAATTTATTTTAAACAGAAGTTGAAAACTTTTTAAATTATTTTAATTTTAACTCATTTTCAAGAACATTCTCTGATAATAAATAAATTAAATGCACTCTCTACCTTAACTATCATTTCAATTGTAAATTTAAAGTTAGTATTAGAAAATCCATCACTAAACTCTCAGATTTTTTTTTTCTTTGGTGAGGTGGATTGGAAGGTGTTGTAGCTATTGTATTTTATTTGAAATCTAAATGAAACAAAATACAGTGTAACTCTTTTGTTTTTTTCTTTCTTTTAACACTGAGACTGATTAATTCAACATGAGCACTCTACAAGATCTAAATACAAACCCCTTACAGATCATGGTTTCTTGAAAGCATAGAAACTTACTTTAAGATGTTACCTTCTAAATTTTATTTCCTCTTGTGTTATTTTTTATAGAGTACAGTTTTTCTATAGCCACAAATATACCTCAATCATCATGTAGACTTTCATATATATTTTTGTTTGGATTTTTGAGATGAGGAATTATTGTTATACAATATAATTCATTTGGACATGCCTATTTTTATATTACAGCATTTGGCTGCTGTCCTCTCTGGCCTTCAGATGCTAAATGCATTTGGTCTTTGTTGCTGCTTTTACTTGTCCCATTTGATTAAATGAAGAGTGAAAAATAGGGACATCACAGAAATAAACAGTGACCACTGCTCAGTAATAAATTTAAAAATATTAAATTGTTAAAAGCATTGTTTTGTAGGAACATTGAAATTGATGTCATAAAATGATCATAATCTTAGTGTATATGCTTGTTGGTATAACATATTACTTATTTTTATTTTTTCTATCTGAAATGAGGATGGAGTTCACATCCACCATCTAAAGTTAATCAACACTTACATCCATTAGGCTACTGAAGTGCAGAACCATCAAGTTATTTTGTTGGAGCCTTAAAACTAATGTGTTCTGATCAATTGTTCCTATATTGTGTTTAATTCTATGCAAGATCTATCAGAGCCTGGCATGTGCACTGACTCTTTCTAGCTCTCTAGTATTTTGGTTTGTGAACCCTCACTTCCTGGCCTTCTCTGTGATCAGCTACTATACCTAACTTCATAGTTTCTCCATGGAATGGCTTTTCAATGTTCTCTCAGCTTTAAATAGTAAGTAGTCTCCCTTTCCTTCCGGAACTATAAATGCAGTTCTTTGTCATGTCCTCAGTTGATGGGAGTCTGGCTTGGGTTGGGTATTTCCAGAATAAGACTACTTTTAAAAACTGTCCTGATGTATGGACTGCAGATTTTCTGAATTTTTCCAATACAACACTGATGTAAAGTAGATGAACTGTGGCAGTTTTTGACTATTGTCATCTATACTTGTATCTCCACTAACAAGGTATTTGTTACCGTGAAACATGTTTATACTGATCATCTCTTGTTGGTATATAGGTGCTGCTTATATCTTGATATTATGGACAACTGATTTTCTTCTTTTTCTATGGATGATAGGAAATTTGACCAGTGATTATTATCTAATAATACAGGGTGTGGTAGAAATACCTCCCACATTTTAAAGATTGACAAAAAGACCAAGGTAACTGCAATTAAAAAATTTATTTCACTGTTGTTTAAGCAAAAGCTACTGTTATTCATTTAGTTTTAAAAATGACATCCTCCAAACAGTGGTCTCTATTTGCCATACACTGTTGTAAACTATTTCTAAAGTTTTCCATCACTCGGAAGTTTAAATGCTTCAAGGTCTTGCAGGTGGCTTTTTTTTTTAAGTGCTGAACCTGTGGCCCTGAAATTTCATCCCATTGCAGTATTGATCTTCTATCCAGAACATCATCATTCTAACATAACATGAAATGAGCATGAAAAGCTCTTGGTGTTGCAATTACAGATTCACCAGTCTTAAGAAACATTTCAACAACAAATGCACAGTGTGCACGGATCCAAACCACAAATGTAACTGATAGTATCTGAAAAAACAAAATAGTTAAGATATTAGCTATTGCCACTTGCTGAAATTTGCTAGCACCACACAGGTGACAGTTTAAAATGTAAGAGGCATTTCTGCTACACCCTGTATATAGATGTCTTGAACCTTTGTTCTTTGTAAGTTATTAATATATCCAGGAAGGCTGTTTCTTTTTTTCATTTTCATTAATAACTGTATTGAAAGTTTTATTGAGTTCACATGGTTCGACAATACTTGTAAATCTTCCAGGTTGCTTATATATTTATCAGAAATGGTAGAGTTGTCTTTTTATTTATAAGAACAGTGTTGTAAAAATAGAATAACATTGTGCCAACTACAACAAATAAACTGAATATTACACTCATATTCCTGATGTAGACATGCTTAAAATATTCTACACCCTACAGAACCTAATTAGATTCACTTTAATTTTCCTTTAATGTCTATTGATTTCTTTCTATTTCCATGTTCTAT